AATTACTTTCCGCAACAGTGGAAGCACGCGCAGATAATTACGTTTGTCAAGCCGGGGAAAAACCCAAAGGACTTAAACTCCTACCGTCCGATCAGCCTTCTCCCCAGTTTGGGAAAGGTATTTGAGCGTGTGCTCCAAAAGAGATTAACTCAACATCTAGAGGATAAGGAAAATTATATGTAAAGAGCAGTTTGGTTTTAGAGCCGGTCATAGTACCGTGCACCAACTACTGAACGTTACAGAATTTATTGCAGACTCCTTCGCAAAAAAGAACACAATCGCCAGCTGCTTTCTAGATCTAGAAAAAGCATTTGACAAGGTGTGGCATGAGGGTCTCCTCTACAAGCTGCACCTTGTTCATCTGCCCATCAGTTTTATTAAGCTCATGAAAAGCTATCTTAAAAACAGGACCTTTCAGGTAAAAATTAATGACTCTCTCTCTTCAAGAAAAAGAATTAAAAGCGGAGTGGCTCAAGGAAGCGTTCTGGGACCGCTTCTGTTTAATATCTACACGAATGATATGCCGGTTCCTTTGAATGCAAAAGTAGTGAAATATATGCCGACGACACAGCAATTTTAACCAAGTCGCTAAAACCTCAGCTCGCTGTAGATAAACTTGAAAGCGCAGTAAATATCATAGCACACTATTATGATTCATGGAAATTAAAAGTAAATCCGTCAAAGAGCCAAATTCTCCTTTTCAGACGTCATCGGAAGTTCACTCCTGTGAATGTAAATATAAAAATTAATGATCAAGCCCTAGCAATTGTTTCAAGTACCAAGTATCTAGGAGTGGTCTTCGACTCACAGCTGTTATTCAAAGAACACACGGAGTATGCCTTGCGCAAAGCCACCGCTGCTAAAATGTCTCTTTACCCTTTAATAAGAAGAAATGCTAAATTAAATATCAGTCTCAAGAAGAAGATCTATACCAGCTTAATAAGACCCACCCTACTTTATGCAGTGCCTATCTGGGCCACTGTGTACAAGACTTATAGACACAAACTACAGGTCTTTCAGAACAAAATACTCAGACAAATTGTTGACTCCCCATGGTTCGTACGTAACCTGCAGATACATAAAGAACTAAAAATAAGACCCATAGCTGATCAAATTCTCACCACGAGCCACAATTTCTATGCTAAAATAGAACTTTCTCAATACGAACATATCCGTAATCTGATAAATTATGATCCTACTATAGAAATTGCAGCAAAGCGCCCAAGAGGCATCTTCCATAACAGCAAATGGTGAAATGTAATATTTTGTATATAGTACTATTATCTTTATTTTTATCTTCATTGTGTCATTTTTACCAGTGTCTTTGAAACTTTATAGACTTATGGACATGATCCGTGTACCTGGATCTTCAAAGCACTGATCTTATATTTGTCATTTTCGTAATCTTCTTATTGTTATATCTTATATCTTCATATCTTTATTTATCATGTTTTCGTAATCTTCTTATTGTTATATCAGAGACTTTGTAATATTGTGGACTTATGGACATGATCCGTGTACCTGGATCTTCAAAGCTCTGATTATTTATTGCTAGTGTAAAATGTTTTTCACCATTTGCCTACTTCGCTCAAATACCGCCGTCCCTATATGTACATAGTGTATAGTTTCAGTAACTCATGTGCCTCAGTGTTGTACAAGAACTTTAGTGTTTAATTTCTCAGACCAAGACTTCACTGAATTGTGATATCTACTATTTCAAGATGCATTGGGCTGTGGACAGTTCACGGGAGGGTGACCCCCACGTGACTACCACTGTCCAATCTGTGTTTTACAGCAAGGATGAATTTGAATATTTTGTTTAGCTAATCTGTTGCACTTAGTTGTGCCATTTGTCTTCATTTAGATCGCGATATTAGTTTAATTATTCCAATCTGGATAACCTGTTTCAAAACTTGATAATTATTAATATTATCCAATATTTCTCATTGCACGCGTAAGCTGCTTTGCTCGGAGTCTGAACTTGGGTGGGTGACCACCCACGTGACAGGCTCCTGCCAATCATCTCCCTCCACTCCACCTACATTTCACAAAATTTGACAAGTTTCGCCTAGTTGGCGCGGCGTAAATCGCCTTAATTAAAAACTTAAGTACCAACGCCTTAGGGCAATTTACCAACAGAGACGGTTAAAGTAGCGGTTGGCTACTAATTGCCGCCTAGCCATTGACTCGATTTCGATTTCAGTTTGTAGTAGTTGCTTAGTTTTGTTGTTGTTTCGTGCTCTTGTTGATTGTAGCGAATTCGCGGATTAGCTTTCTTTAGCTGTTTGAATTACGTTCTATTGACATTTGAGTAGTTAAAAGATAACTACTGTGAGATATTGTAATACTGCATGATAATTTGAGAAAATTTAAGCATATTTGTTGTGATAATAATAAATTTTTGTTCATTTTTCATCGGACTTGTGCATTCATTTCGTAACGAACCCGTACGCACGCAACAATATTTTAAAAATGATTAACATATACTTGAAATTTGACTGACTTTCTTTATGCAGTTTATTCTTCTTTTGACTAAATTATTAAAATGCCTGTGGCAAGACAAATACTTAAAGCAGCTATGTTATGTAGTCAGTTGTAAAAAAATTGCAAGTAATTGTTTTTAAAATAAATAAGTTACCTCCTATTCTTACAACAATAACACAGATCTTGAGAGTTTTAAGAGGCACTAGCCTCCTGAAAGCAAAGGAAGTACTACCTGTCTCTGAAAGAATATTGAGAAAAGGACCCCAGAATATCTATTCTGTATCACATTTCTTTCCTGTTAACTTTAGCACTTTATTATTATTATTGTTATTTTGCTTTTTTCGTTTGCAAAGAAATTAATCTAAAAACATGAACAAATCACCTAAATGCAAGAAATAACAGTATACAATCAGATTATTCTGTTCTTTCGTCTTTAGAGGAACATTTTTGTGGACAATATTTAGAGCATTTTAATATGTTATACTGCTAAAAAAAATCTTAAATTTTCTGATAATCTACTCTTTCCTTTTATAATTAATTAATTGCACTGCCATCTGGTATCATACACATTATTTTAAAACCAATTTGTCCCATTTCTTCAGTTTCTGTTAACAGCATACTTTGGAATAAATTTCTTGTTATGTTTATGACTAGTGCAACACATATTACATCCTTATATGAAAATGGAATGGATGAAATCATAAATACTTGGACAGTATAAGCAATGTTTTTAGGATCAGAGTCAGTTTTGCCACATCCAGATCTATCCTTGAAGTTAATTGAGATTCATTATAAATTTCATGGAATTTTGATTTTCTGATCTCATACACTATCCTGGAAAGAACTACTGAACCCTGAAAATTTTGAAATCGGCATCCACTTTCAGTAAGTTAGACAAGATAAGCCACATCTGTAGACTGCTGTATATGCTGAGACTGAATACAAATGTGATGATGCAATTAATTATAATTATCTCATGGCATTATCCTGTATTCGTTTTAGGTATTTGGAGAATTTTTGACAGGTTGGTTCTATCCTTTTTTACTTCTTTGTAATTAACCCTCTGAGTGGCATGACCAGCATTCTCTGGTCATCAAAGAATCATAAGAGTTATAAGTTTTGTCACTTGGTATGCATTGGCTTATAATTTAATGTATTTTTATTTCTTATTTTCTTTAATAATGTCATGTCAATGTAAATGTAATCTTAATGAATATAAGTGTATGAAAACAAAGACCAAAAAATAAGTAAATATACAAATTTAGATAATAAGTGCTGAGCAGCCAGGTTAAATGCAGCGAGCTCAGAAACTTCTATATTTCTTGCTGCAAAAAATGACAATATAGATTCTAGAATATTTTAATATGCATTATTTTCGGAAGCCTGACTTGTATAACTTTATACCTACTAATATATAAATAACCTGGTGTAACATATTAATTATACAAATACAGGATGTCCCAGAAAGGACTCCCAACAAAATGGCCAAATGGAAGGAAGCATTTGCCTCAAACTACACCCATTCTTCGGTTAAATTTAATTAATAAAAATATTATTGAGGAATCCTTGCATTTGATGAAATGATGTTCACACCATTATCTTTTGCAGAATAAATTTAAATATACTAATTCATGGGCTTTCACACTTCATGAAAAGAATCAGCAGAGAGGCTGGTTATTCTAGAGTCTTCATGTTTCGGGCATTTAACAGAAAATGGTTGCAAGCAGTAGCATGTTTTTTGAGTAAAGATATTGCTTCAGTTATGAATAACTTTTACAAAACTCCCAGCATTTTACTAAAATTATCAATTTACTTCAGTTTATTTATTGAATTTAAAAATAAAAGAGTTAATCTGAATTCATTTAAAGTAATACTCGTGCCTAAAAAATAATTTTATAGTAATACTCGTGCCTAAAAAATAATAAAATTAAGTACTGGACTATTTGTAGATGAAGTAACTGCAGACATGGAAATAATTTGATATTTCTTGCAGTAATATTTACCTGTGACCATATGCATGAATGATGATAAAAAAAACTGTACTTCTCCTGTACTTATTAAAAAATGGCAGAAATGTTCACAACACAAAATAAGATTAGAAGGTCTTAATGACCCATGGAAACAAAAAGACTGGTATTTTGGCTTTTGACATTTTAGATCCCAAATAGTAATGAACAAAATAGTCATATCATTGAAGTTTGTAATTATTATTAAACCTGTTCAATTGAATTTTCATTTGCAGATAATAAATAAGCTCATTAAAATTAAGTACTGGGACTAATTTATAGCCCATATTTCGTTCTAGACCATGCCCATCTAAAAAAACTTTCAAATAATGTAGCAATGGCTCTTTAGTTAATTAGATTGTTTTCTCATTATGTGAGATAATTAGCTTGCCATGTTGCTGTAAAAATATGGTGCTTGAAGTATAAAATTAATAGCACTATAAGGTATAACCATGGGTGCCAAAATGCAATTATATGGTACTAAGAATGTCTTTTATTAACTATAATAATGGCACAGATAGTTCTGAAAAATGATTAATCAGGTATATTAAAAATAACAAAAATAATATGGAATATGCATATTTTTTTTTGAAATATCTGTTTCTTAGGCAATTTACAATTTTTATTTTAAAGGTAAAGAAAGAACTTATGCTGCATAAGATAACAGATAATGGTAAGATAATGGATATAAAATTTAGTATCAGTATCTTAGTAGTAATCAAATTGCTTACTGTTTCATGTAAATAATAATGATAATAATGAAAATTACTCAGAAAACAGTACATACTAAAAGTGATGAATATATAAGAACAAGGACTGTACATGGCATTTATATTGTTTCACTGATAAATGCAATATTTGCAACATACTGTATCGTTATTAAATAGCTAAAAAACACAAAACTGCAATTATCATAACCAGAATTATTACAGGAACATTCTTATCATTTTATTTTACATATAATTGTATTAACATGATTTTTCAAGATATTTTACAATGATCATTTCAATAAATACATTTCTGTTAAATATGAAGATATTTCATAGGCAAATTTCCTCAAAAAAGGCAAACAATGCAAATGCACTGCTTTGATTAAAATAAAGATTAATTTCCAATAAATACTGAATTAAAGAAAATTAAGCTTTAGTCAATGTTCATATTCAAGAACACAAACTGGTCAACATATTTTGGCTTGATTAAACATCTTTTTTCTGAAAATATCCTCCCTTTTTTTAAAAATACTCTTTCTGGTGGGATGGAAGTTGCTGGAATAGAAAGTATTTGCTTAGCTATTTCAGCAAGAATAGGGAACTGTGCTTGTCCCTGAGTCTTCCACCATAAGAATGGATTCTTTTTCCTGTCTAGAAGTGGTTCCTCAAGGTAATGTTTGATTTCATTGCTAATAACATCATCAGTTCTTGATGGTGCTTTTTTAGGTATAGCCTTTCTCTCAAATCCTTCCCACAAACTATCAGTGCAAGAAGACACTTCCTTGCTTCCTTTTTCAGATATATCCATCATTGAATTGTTAGATGCATGTTTACTAGCTTCTCGAGTAAGTTCTTGAATGGCTGTTTCAACAGCAACTTCTGACTGAAACGCGATGTTTTTGAAACGTGGATCCAATATTGTAGCCATAGCTAACATTAAGTTGTGTTCAACTTGACCAAGACGTTTACGCAAAGCAGTTAATATGTCTTTCCTTACTCTTTCTATGGTAGGAAGTGTTAAAGTGTTACAATTATTTATCAAGGAGTTCAAACCTAAAGTAACTGGTATTACTTTTGAGGCAAACTGATAAGGTTCATTACAGAGTTCCAAAATAACAACTTCAAAAGCTTTTAAGAGGCTAATTGTTTCCTCAATAGCAGTCCAGTCATTCTTTGTTAAAATCTCTATAGATGAGGAGAAGTTTGCCAAAATTTTGGTGAGCACATTTTTTAAAGTAGCTATTCTTTGAAGCATGTAGAATGAGCTTATCCACTCATTAGAATTGTCTTTCTTTACTTTTAAGGGATATTTTACATCTACAGCTGCATTAATATCCATAACTTGACTTTGTGCATGTTGCATTTTAACATTTTTATCATGCATTTGAGCTTCTAGTAACTGCTGTTTTGCAGACTCATTGCTACGCAGAAAGTTTACTACAGTACGACACTTTTCCATGAGACCTAAGAGCTCAGGAGATGATGACAAAGATGTCTTGATAATGTCATCAAGAATATGAGCAAAACAATTAATACCTCTCCAACCAGTAAGTTCAGATGTTTTACACATGGTTTCACTGCCATCAGTCACTATACACATCACATCCATAGATAAATCCCATTGAGAAATGCTGGTAACTATGTGTGTCATTAAATGTTCTGGATTTATATCATTCACATAAAAAGTGTTTAGAGCATAGTGTTTATACTGAAAGTCACTAGTAACAAAATGAGCTGACACAGTCAAAAAATTCTGTTCATTATATCCCGTCCAAAGTTCAATAGAGGTATGAACTTTCTCAGCTTCTTTTAATAAATTTTGCACTTTTTTATATTCTACATAATACTTTTTGGGAATATGGTCAATAAAAAATTCTTTAACAGAAGGCATTTTATAAGAAGGATCAAGGGAGTTAATTAGTCTTTTGAAGCCAGAACCTTCTAATACAGTTACAGGCAACATGTCAACAAGCATCATTTCTATAATTTTATCTGTAATATTAGGCTTTTTAGGTATTACAGTCAAACTTGCTGTTTTTTCAATTGAAACTTGAGGTATTATATTTATAGTGTGATTTCTGACTCTTTTTTTCTCTGATATACATGGCTTGGGCAGTTTGTTTGAAAGGTACTGATACTTGATATTGTTTGCCTGTTTGCTCTTAACAACATCTCCTTCAATGGGATGATAACGAGACAAATGGTATACTAAATTAGTTGGGGTACCACAATAAGATATAACTTTTTGGCATATCTGTAAACAAAAAAAAAAAAAAAAAAAAAAAAAAAAAAAAAAAAGGCATTAAAATTGATAAGAGATTTATATTAAAAAAAAACTCTTTGTATTTGACATCTAGTAATGTAAAAATATACTCTGCAGCCAAAAAATTCTTACATTAAAGAAAGAAAAAAAAAAAAAAAAAAAAAGACAAAAAGAATTAATAACTTCAAAACTTAACATGAAACTACTACTTAGCCAGACTTAAAAATGCCCGCAACTGCACAATTAATACAGATCCACACTGCAGAAGTATAGTTCACATATAATGAATTGCACAAGTTATATACAATAAGTATTACTTCTGCAGTAGCATTACTCGCCTTAAAAATAAGAGTGGCCTACACACTCGAATAATACTATATACAGTAAAAGTGAATTTGAAAGGACCACATGATAAGTAACAAATAGTTTTCACAGATGTAATAATTGTCTTGTTATTTTATTTTTACTTATTTATTTGTTTGGAAAGTAGCAAACAAGCACAAAATGTGAATGCTGTCGACACAGATATTGTATCTGTGCTGCAAAATATCAGTTGAAAGATGGGTGAGCTAGAAATGTGGCTGAATATTGCATTGTGAAGTATGGTAAGGGTTTTGCATTTAAAGCAAATATCAACAATAAAATTGTCATCAATTTGTTGAAGCATATGATTCTAATGTCATGTTATGCAAATAAATTTGGTTTTGGTGCAATGAGTTTAAAAAATGCATGACAGTTGCACAAGACGAGTAATGATTTAGTGGGACTACGTCCACTATGAATGACAATGAGTGATTTCTTGAAACTCTTATTCAAGATGATTGTCATACTGAACTTAGCAACATGGCTAAAGAATTCATCATCTCGGTGGGCAATGCGCACATTATCCATTCAACAACTGAGCTACAACAAGACATGTTCATGTGGCATGCAGAAACATCTCATGGATGAGGATTCTGCATTTGTGGTGGTTTAGTGAAGAAGGCATTCTATTGCTGTATTGTATTATTACATTAGATGCTCCCCGTGATACCACAGATGAAGCCAGCATGCATGTCATAGAAAATTCCATAGTTCCTTCCAAGGAATTCAGAACAAGAAGAGAATTATAACTTTAACCTTTCAGAATCACCAGAGCATGCTGCTAGCTGATTTTCTCACAAGCAACATTGAATGTTGCTAGTTACTGAGACATACTGGAAGGAATCACTAATATGAGTCAGTTACTACGTCAGATTTCCTTAATCTGTATTCCACAGACTACAGTGGTGCTTCAAGCCTGCTCACATGGTCCTCTTAGATTTATAATAATAACAGTAATAATAAAAACCAAATAAATGATATATACCATATTCTTGTTGAAAATTTAAGAGTCTGGAAATTGCTCATGGCAATCATCTTTCACTTTTTTAAGACATATTTCATGAAATTTATGTCTCATTATGGTACTATCTATAAGCATTTCACTCAAGTCTTAGCCCTAAAAGTACAAAGTCCGAGATTCGGACGTCCAATATCCAGAATGATCTAAAAATCAGGACCTCAAAGCCACCAAGAACGTTTTTGAATTTTTTTTTTTGGTACACTTTACGCCTGCACATTACATTCCCTCCTCTGTATACAATAAAACACATGGAGAATCCTGATTTGTAATTTCACTTCAGCACTAAATAAAATACCTCATTATTGAAGAAACAATAATTTTAGTATAAATTTGTATGATAAAAAATATGACTCCAATCCGTATCTGCTTGGTACACATCTCAAACCTAAACATTCTACATAGATACATTATTGATTTATGTCTACTAATATTTTATATCCCTGATACCAACGTGGCAAATTATTATTTATTATATTTTGCTTTCATCACTGCATGTTTAGCAACACATGACAACTTGAGTAATGATTCATATAGCGATACCTGACATTATGCTTGGCAATGATTAGAGATTTAAGTTAAATGCACTAAAAAATGTTGATAATGAAAAATTTAACAAAATTTTCTTTCCATATGCTAAAAATAGATTTCCTTAATGACACTCATAGGCCAAAAGATTACATTTAGGGCTATTTGAATTAAGAATAAATGATTTGTTATTCACATAAACCCAGAACCAGTGCCAGGGCTCGTATGGCCTCACCGGACAGCAGCATTCAGAAAAGACAAAGGGAGGCGCTTCGTAGCAGAATTTCGGACCCACAGAGACTGCATCAGGCAGCAAAACATCTAGCGCCTGCCCTGAATAAGCCTCAAGTATATGTAGGAATTTATTTATTCAGGACTCGGAGATAAGCCTTAAGCACGTGCAAGAAACAGACATAAGTATAATGAATAACTAAACTAATACAATCCAGGCTTAACTGTCTCAGAGTGTGATAGAAGAAAGATAAAATTTAGTGGAACAACTTATCTTTAATTAAGATTTAATAACACGCCGAACAAATATTAAGTTAAAAGTCAAACAACAAAAATCAGCATTATATTTTCAAATTTTCACAGGACTAGTTTTGATGATTTTACCGAACCATCATTCTCAGCTGCAAAAGCGCACATGAACGAGATAAGATATAATGATTAAATAAGGTAAGAAAGCCTGGACACGAGACAAGCTACTGGCACCATCTGTTGATGAAAGCAGAACTAAAACATAATTTCTTTAAAGGCTGAAGGCAAAAATGGATCAGAATTAGGGTCATTAACTAGAACAGAAAGATTTTTTTGAATGTGAAACGCCTCTAGAAAATCCAGTTCACCAATGGAAGATGTTTTTTGAATAATTTTAGCAGCAGAAAAATTGAAAGTGTGATTTTCGGACCAACAATGTTGGCCAACAGAAGACTTCTGTGTTTCCTTTTTCCTAATATATGCCTCATGTTCCTTAACAAAAAATTTTAAGGCTCTCTTAGTTTGGCCAATGTAAATTAAGCCACACTGGCAAGGAATCCTGTAAATACCCCAAGAATTCATATCTGGACTGGGGTCCTTGAGTATGGAACTCAGAATTTTATTGATGGGAGAATAAACGACCCAAAAGTTAAATTTCTGCAAAATACGTGCAACTTTATAGCTAATTGATGGAAAGAAGGGAATGAAAACAGAATTTTTATAATCTCTTAAAAAAAGAGTGTTCCTTTCGGTGTGTTGAGATGAGAAATTTTTAACTGCTTAATTAATAATGTTGGGTGAAAAGCCCCTGTCAATAGCTATTGCTTTTAAATAATTTAGTTCTTCATCAAGTGCTAGTTTGGAGGAGCAAACGTGAAGAGCACGGAAAACATAGGAATAAAATGAAGCTAACTTTTGTTTAGTCGGATGACATGATTTGTGGTGGAAGGTAAACTGATGAAGTACTGAAGTTGGATGTGTTACGTGTGACCAGAATGTCGAGAAACGGAAGAGAATTGAGGGTCTCAAGTTCAAAAGTGAACTAAATAGCAGGATTATTGGAGCCATGTAGAGGATATAGGAGAAAAACTGAGTTTTGCGTCTCAGGCCGCCAGGTAGTACAGGAGCTCGGGCAGCCTAACCAGCACGTCCTAGCTGCTCTATCAGCTGGTGTATAATCTCGCCTACCTTGTAGTTCCAGGTGGTGCCTGGTTTGAGTCCTACATGGCAGAGTGGGGGGCTATTCCAAGGTCACTGCTGGCTGCTGAATCCGGGGCTACCCCATCCAAACTGGCTCTTAGAAAATTGGAAGGAATTTTTCTTTCCCTTTTCTCAATCAAATACCAAAATGGATGTTATCAATACAGAATCAGATAAAAATGCATCCTCTGAAACCCCCACTGTAGCTCCTTCTGAGGGAGTGAATGCGCCCTTGGGTGCGGACGCTCTTCTCTTTAGGACTACAGAAAACAGAACCGCTGGTGAAGGGGTCAATGTGCTTTTGGACATGGACGACTTTAACCCAGTGCGGATGAATACTGACTCCTCTGTCAGAAGTGCTGTGCCAGATGCGCAAAAAGATTCTCTAAGAGAGAATGCATTGCTGGTGACACCCTGGAAACGACGGCTTTATAGTCAAGCTGTGAGGAAGGCAATTACTCTGCAGGTCATCTGCAAGGATGAATCCAGAGACATAATGTCGGTGGATTCGGACTTCATCACTTCTATGATTGATGACCGAATTATTGACGGCTTCATCACTATCTGTAGGGTGCACAAGACAGTCCTGCAGTCGAATGGCCTCAACGTTGCATGTGAGGACCAGGAGACTGTGGCTGTCCTAGACTTTAATCAATCATCTACCTGGCCCTGAAAAAAACCATCCCGGTTATCACACCATGGCTCCCGGGGACAGACCCCCATGAAGAGGTTTTTCGCTTGGTTTCCTGGTAGCAGGTCACCAAAAGATAAGATCAAGCTCCTTGATGCCTGTATGTTAAGAAGATCACCATCAAGGCAGTCATCCCTGGAAACGGAGGTAACACTCTGGTGCTGGGAGTGGAACCTAAGCTCATGGATTACCTGAAGGCCCAGAATTTCAAACTTTTTTGTGGTGCCCGTGGCTCTGTACAGCTGAAGGAACCAAGACAACAGGAGAAATTAAGTCCTCCACCCAAGGATCTTCCGAGGAAACAGTTGATGGAAGAAGGGGAGACCGAAAAGGAGTTCGGAACCAGAATTCTTCCCTGGAGGCTCTGGGGAAGACCTTCTGAATAGGTTTCCCCTGTCATGACTTCCTTTGAAGTTCGTGGGTTCAAGGATGTGCAGCTTTTAACTAAGTCTCTCCTAAAATCCTTCAGGGTAAGTTCTTATCTGTCATTTAACCTGTTTTAATGGTTAAGGTTAGTCAGCTAAACCTGCAACATAGCAGAGCAGCTTCATACAACTTAGCTGCTCAATTAGGTAAGCAAGGCACTTTTTGTTGCCTTAATTAAGAACCTTGGGTCTACAAGGGTAAAATTCTTGGTAGGCCCATGAATGCACACTTCTTTTCGTCAGAAGGACCTAATAAAAGACCTAGAACTAGCATTTACATTTCTAAAAATATAAAGGCTATGAAATTATCTCAATTTACATCAGAGGACTTGACTGCTATTTTAACCAAGGACATAAACAGTTCACTGAGAGGAAACATGTGTTTTTGCTCGGTTTACATGGCTTATGACCACAAATTCTGCAAGAATTTATAGATCTTGTGAGCTTCTGTAAAATAAACAATATTCCTATGGTTATTGGTGGTGATGTTAACGCTCACCACCTATCATGGGGCAGTTCTGATACCAATCCTAGAGGAGAAAAACTCATGGAACTTACAATGAATACCAACCTAACTTGGGTAAACAAGGGGAAATCGCCCCACCTTTCTCAACAAAGAAGAGAAGAGGTCATTGATCTCACATTAACTTCTTCTGATATTTATAACCTTATTGAGAATTGGCATGTAAGAGATAATCCCTCACTTTCAGACCATCGCCTCATACAATTTTGTATTAGAGATGAAATTCCAGCTGAATATTTCAGAAATATTAAAAACACAAATTGGGACCTTTATAAGGACTCCTTGGTTTCTAATATAATTAACCTTCAGGTTTTAGACAATAATTGTTCAGTTTAGGAGCTTGATACTCAAGCAAACAACCTGACAAATATCATTATTGAATCTTATCATGCATCATGCCCTCTCAAACAAAGGAACTACTCATCTAGCAAGAGAGTCTGGTGGACCAAGGAGCTTGAAAGCCTCTGCCTAGAGGTTCAGAGAGCTCACAGGAAAGCAGTCAGAAATAAATCTGAAGTTAACTGGTTTAACTTTAAAATTCTACAAAGGAAATTTAGAAGTGAAATCAGGAAAACTAAATACAACTCATGGAGATCCTTCTGCACAGATATTCTGTTCTACCATGAGACTGCCAGAGTACATAAGATTCTTAAAAGGTCTCAGTAGTCTCAACTCTCATCGGTTACGAAAACGAAGCAACTTAAACAACTTACACTGAAAGAAATGTTTAATAAAGTAAGGAAATAAATATTAAGCTTTTTTTTGGAAATTTTGACATCTTTTTTTATAATTTTGAAGCATTTATCATTTTGATTATAAATGCTTCATTATTTCATAAATCACAATTCCATATTTTTAATTTTATAATTTCTATATGCCATCTTACTAAATTTAAACGGATGATCTAATATCCGGAAACATCCCAAATCTGGAATCACGAAAGTTCTGACGAGTCCAGAATTTGGGACTTTGTACTGTATTATGATTGTGGTGCTTCTTATTAGCATACATCCAAATACGGAACAGCTGTGCAAGAACTGGCAGGCTTACCACCATTTATTTATTTTTAGTTAATAAGATTAAGATTATACAAACTTGAATAGCCTTGAATTATTAAAAACAAACATAAACTTTGTTCAGGTAATTTAATTGCTTGATACCAATATAAACCAAAGAAATTTTAACTAAATGTATTTTTAAAATGAAAATTAACTGGTAAAAGCATATGCTAAAAACTTTGCTTACAAATGGGCCATGTTCAAGGTGGTTCGCTGAAAATTCTAATTTATAAAAATGAGGAAAGTTGGAAAAACACTGTGTGAAGCAATTTGCAGAAAATAACCAGAGCTGTACTTAAGTTTTTATCATAGCTGCATGATAATTCCTGACCACACACAGCCACTATCACATGTAACTTGTTCTAGCACTTTCACTGGGAGGTTCTGGGCTATTTTCCCTATGACCTGGATCCAGCATACCCAGCAATTTTTCTCTTTGGACCCTTGAATAAGCACTTGGATAGCAGCTGATTAATAACTGTTCATTAAGTATTAATGATGTGGCTTCAGCAATTCAACACTTATTTATCTGGTTGTAATGAAAGTTTTCTGCCAGAAAACGTTCTTAATAAGTTAGGGAAAAAAATGAAAGCAGTACCTTAAAGTATGGGTAGTAATAACCACTCAAATTTATTATTTTCTGCCAATGTTTGGTAGTTTTTCAACGTCTTCAGCCCAAAAACTTGATGGCTGAGAGTCTAAAAACAGATCAACCTTAAACCTCATTTTGGACAGACTGTGCAGAATGGAAGATAGCACACAGCATGATGTAGCTGCAGGTGTGAAAAAGGGTAGAAGTCCATAGGAGCAATGTCGAGGCTTTATGATAAATGTGGCAAAAGATCCCATTTGAGTACATATAGACTCCATCCACTGAATGCAGACACATGTGGTCTTGCATTATCTTGATGAAACACTATCATTTTGTGCTGGAACTCAGTTCAACGTTTTTTCATGGTAGCAGTGTCAACATGGACTAGCATCTCATTGTACACCTTACTGTTGAGAAGTTTACCTTTTTCCATATACTCTTGTGGATAATACAACAGCAATCCCACCAGATACAAGGCATGATCTTCTTGTTAGTCAAAAATTGTACTTGCAATAATTGCAATCTGCCGATGGGCACACTGAGCACAGACCAACCCCCTTTATGGCCTATGTAGTTGAAATAAATCCTTTATTCATAACAAGTAACAATCCTATCCAAAATTTTGTCCTTGCATTGATATTCAAGCAGATTAGTGCAAGCCGAAACACATCTACCTTATCTCCTTCAGTCAGCTCATGTGGCACCCTGCAATTGAACTTGCACATCAACTTTATGCAATGCATAGCGTGACATGTCTAACTCCTTAGCATGCTCTCAAGTGGTTGTACACTGATCTTCTTCTAAGTTCTTGCAGGCAAGCCTCATCAACATCAGTAGGCCAGCTACAGCACTCTGCTTCTTGAATGTGATAGTCCTTGTTTTTGAAATTTCAGTACCAAACCTTCACAGTGCCATATGATACAACATTAGTACCTAAAGCTGTACACATGATTTAGTGGCCTTCTGTAGCTGACTTTTTGCAACAGAGCGGTAAGTAAATGATGGTTCTAATCTAGTAGAGTGATAGTGCCATTTCAGATGCCTTGTAATAAATCATAATATTTTTTTACAAATTTCACAGCAAGTCACTTTTTTTTTTTTTTTTTCAAATGATAAATTTGTTGGACAAAGTATGATTAAGCACGCCTTATTGCGAACTGTTTTAGCAGATGATATTTGCAGTGGCGAGAAACTTTCATTAAAACCCGATATATTGTATGCAGGCATCAATATTTTCATATACTATAGGAACAAATGTTTTGGCAAACAAAATATTATGTTGAAAAGTAATGTTCACATGTGCCGCATTGTACTTGTATCTGTATATCTGCCTATGGAATTAAAGTTTGTGAAAGGATTTTTTTTAATTGGCTTTGTATTTTCTTTCCATAATGCTAATTAAATTGTCAGACATTTCAGTGACAATCTAAACAACTATATATTTAAATTTCAACAATTATTATAACATATTACAAAACTTTGAAATACAATTTTTATTTAGCATACAAGCATAACTTTTCTTCATAGGAAATAGACACTTTGTTCTTGGAATAATACATTCTACTTAGTCTACTTTTAAATGTTTCATCATCATAATTTGAGAAAAGCAAATGTATTTTCTATGTATATAATATTATTAATTTTAAACTGTAACCTTTGGAGGTTGAGAAGATACAAGAATAGGAAAAGTAAGACAGTTTGTATAAGAGAAGGAAAGTAATGTGCCTGAAGACAAAATTATTGTTACTCAAGGTTTTATAATTCATTAGTTGCAGAATTAGCAACTACAGAATAATTCAATAATCATATTTTTAAATATATAATCATATGAGGTTTTAAAATAATTAAATAATCTCACTAAAATGCATAAAATACAAATGAAATTACATACACAACACATGGCTTTCTTTTCATCAAGAGCAGTAAAATACGTCCACACTATACTTCGCTTGCCTTTCTGATGCTTTTTAAATTCAGAATTCTTTTTAATGGAAATGATGGTTGGTTTATGATAAGATGCACTGGCATATGGAAGTTCAGTTATTTCTTGTCCATCTATGATATTCAAGCTGCCAATGTCCTGTTAAAAGAGAATAATACAATAATTACAGAAAATCTATTTTGCAACAGGCTTTGAAATAACTTACTCCTTAATCAAAATCGTAAAAACAACCTTGTATTTAGCGTAAGTATATTGAAACACTCAATCGATTTCAAGGGCAGCTAAAGGTCCCTCCTCATCAGGAGAAAGAAATACATAGAAAGAAGAAAATAAAGGAAGGAGTCACAGAAACACGTGGTCCTTATCAGCACTGCACGTGGTTATAACTAGATTTTTAATCAGAGTTGCACTGGCCGCCTACTTTACTGAGCCAGGCTATCTGATCAAGCATAAAGAACAAGAAATATTAGCGAAGTTAAAATAGGGAGCGAGGGGCAAATGCACCTTACGCTCAAAATCTGAACTTCAAATAATGGAAAGCAACCACTGAACGGATATTTATACCCTCTGGTAGTACCAAACGCGAGGAGGTAAAGCCATCTATCGGCAAAAATAATTGAATTAAGATAGTAGAATTTTAAAGGCATTAGGAAGGACTGGATTGGACTTCAAATCATTAACTAAACTTTCTAAATCTTTGTGAATGTGAAAAGCCTCAAGAAAATCCAATTCGCCTATGGAAGAAGCCTTTTGGATGATTTTTGCAGACCCAAAATCAAAATTATGGTTAAAAGTCCAACTATGATACGCTATTGAAGACTTGTTAATTTCGCCCTTTTTTGACATAAGATTCATGTTCCTTGATACGAAACTTCAACGCTCTTTTTGTTTGGCCAATATATCTTAAACCACACTGACATGATATACTATAAATTCCCCAAGAATTCAAGACAGAAACGCAATCTTTTAGAATCGAAGGGTGAATTTTATTAATAGGGGAGAAACCGACTTGAAAATTGAATTTCTGGAGAATCCGTGCAATTTTATAGCTAACAGAAGGATAAAATGGAAGCACGACAAGGTCATTAATATTATTTCTAACAGTGGAATGTCTTCTTTGATGGGAATCTGAAAATTTTTTGACGGCTTTATCAATAATCACGGGAGAAAATCCACGGTCAATCGCAACTGCTCTCAAATAATTAAGTTCATTGGTAAGCAAAGATTCAGAGGAACAAACTTTTAAGCGCGCGGAAAACATAATAGTAAAAAGAAGCCATTTTTTTGCTTAACAGGGTGGCATGACTTGGCATGGGGTGGTAAACAAACTGCAAAGGGTTTACGGTACACAGTGGTGCTAAAATCGGTTTCATTGCGGATTATAAGAATATCGAGGAAGGGGAGGGAATTGTTGGATTCAATTTCAAGAGTGAATTGGATGGCTGGATCAATTGAATTCATAATAGATAGAATCTCGGATAAATCCTCTTTATAACCGTCAAAAAAGTGCGAAAGTGTCGTCAACATACCGAATCCAAAGACGAAAAGATAATTTATCAAATAATTTCATCTCAAAATAGTGCATATAAATGTCAGCAAGTACCGGACTGAGAGGATTACCCATAGCCAATCCTTCAACTTGACGAAAATATGCATTTTGGAAAACAAAGTGGGTTTGACTTAGAGAAACTTTAGTAAGCGAAACCAACTCATTAATTTCAGTATGTGTGAAGTGAAATTCCCGAAGCCTAGTTTCAAGACAATTTAGTGCTCCTTCGACCGGAACATTAGTAAACAATGATTTGACATCAAATGAAACCATAATGGAACGAAGTGGGGAAATATTTTTAAGTTTATCAATGACTTCAACAGAATTTTTTACAGTGTGAATATTGTTAGCAAGTAGAGGAGAAAATCTGGAAACTAAATATTTGGCCAAAGGATATGAAGCAGTACCTATGTTGGAAACAATTGGTCGAAAAGGAATACCGGTTTTGTGGACTTTTGGAAGAGCATAAAGTCTAGCGCAATTAGTAATAGGCGGAATAAGTGATTTCTTCAACTGAGTTGGCAGAATGTGGGAAGATTTAATAGCACTTTTTACTTTCATGAGGTCCGAAGTTGAAGGATCTTTAGGGATCGAGCAGTATGGGCCTTCATTTATCAATTTAGAGACTCCAGTAATATATGTGTGTTTGTCCATAACAACGATCTGTCCGCCCTTATCAGCTTTAGAGATAATGATATTAGTATCAGAATGAATTTCACGTAAGATCTCATTTTCCTTTTTGCTAAGATTAGAACCCAAAGATTTATTGTTAAAATTAACGTTATGAGTAATTAGGTGGCGGATTGTATCCTTCTGCGTTTCCGAAATTTTGGAGAATTTAAAGGCTTTCTCTATAGGGGCGATGATTTGAGGAATTGAAGGTTTAGATGTCTTTGAAAAGTTGAAATTTTTTAATACTTTTAAGAAGGAATCAGTTAAAAGTATTAAAATATACATCAAAATTCACTTCAGTAAATATTAAAAATAAGCCTAAAAGTTCTGTCTCTCTACGGAAACCACGAAAATGCAAAGATTTAAGTTAATATCTTATCAGATTTCACTTCACACTGCAGGTATAAAATGGATTGAATATATAGGTATTCGGAAAATTTTTTTCTCTGCTAACGTAAACAAAATCCAATTTTATAAAGAAAATTCTCTCTACAGATATACCTCCTTTGCCCGGCAGTCCAAAGTAATATTTGTTAAAAGTTAAATAATGAAACACAACTAATATATCTCTGATTTCTTTTTTATATTACAATAATAAAACTATGGGGAAAAAAAAGATTTAAAGCTTTATTATTGCTAAAAACTATGGGAAAAAAAAAGATTTAAAGCTTTATTATTGCTATAAGTTTCTCTCAAAATCTATAGCAATGAATCATATTCTATTATCTAATATAATAACCATCTAATAGTAATGATTATTATGAATTTATTATTATTATTTTCATTAAATTATTCATTACTATTATTTTATTAATGAAAATAGATTATCAAATAGTGCATTCTGACCTGCAGGCCTATAAACCTAGTTCATATTTGTTACATTTTGTCAAGTTCTGTTCTCGTTTACTAATTTCTAGTAGAAACAAAGACTCAAAATTCACAAATAATTACCGAGATTGATAAGAAATAGTAAATGTTATATAAACATTGTATACATTTTGTTCTTAATACATAAATACAGTTTAGCTTAAATTAAATCAAAATAACCTCGAAAAAGTCGCAAATATAGTAACCTATTCTAGACTATTGTATTGTCCAGCGTCCGACAAACATGTAAATTTATTGTGGAGGGGACAAATGACTTCTATGGAGGGGTCAAATGACCACTCTAATGACTTTGCTCATTAGGGGACAGTAAAGGAGGGGGCAAAAGTGTTTTGGATCCTGCCATCCTAAAGGTTATACTATCAGAATTTAAGGCAGGTTTTAGAAGGTTAAGCTACTGAGGGTACATAACTTTGATGAGCTAGTAATGAATTCCAGGAATGGTCAAGTGAGGTAAAAGTGGGGAAGCCATTGTCTCCTATACTGTATGTGTGCCAATGTAATGAAAAGCTATGAGAGACAAAAATAAAAATGGATAATAACAAGTACAGACTGGCAGTCAAAGTTAGGTTATGAAGTTATAATTTCTAAGCATGCGAGTAGCGCAAGTGGTCTGACCAAATTATGTTCTGGAATGATTTGGTAACTAAGAACTTCTGAAACCATATCACAGCTAAGTCCAAGTTTTGAAGAAACACTTCTTAAGCTTAGCAATGTGGTCCACTATAGGATTGATTTTCAAGTCGTCATATATCAGTTTGTTTCTAACCAGGTAGACAAGAAAAGTGTTTAAAATTAAATATTCTACTACACACAAGCAACTAGTAAGCTTCATAACTATAGTTCACAGCAAAAAAAATTCAATTTCATAAAAATTTAATAATAAAATCTTGTACAGTTTATACTGCATTATTTTCAGCATATTATACAACAGGTTATAATCAATAATTTTAAATTACATATTCACACTTATTTATTTTATCACCTTCAAATAATCAAATAAACTCAGCGATACTTTAAAAAAAGCAGATAATAAAATTATGTTAATTAATCAGATACTCTGCGCAGGGTATAATCTCGTATTTCTTTCCTTGAATAAATACTTAAGCAATAATTCTCAGTTACAGGTGCTTAAAGCAGCACCTTACACATTAATTCTATTCACGGGGGGGGGGAGGAGAGGGAATACTTTTTATCTTTTGATTTAAACGTATTTGGATTGACAGTGACTGCTTGTTACAAAATTATTTTCAAAATATCACATTCTCGAAAGAATGCAGCTTAATTTTATATGCATAAATAGAGAACAAACTTCTCGTTCATATTACAAATATACTGCATAAGATGATCTGGTAACGTCTATTGTAAAAGACAACAAACACGTGCTTTTGTTTATATAATATGTAAATTTCTAACCTGAACTTGATCGCTTGAGGCGTTCAGATCAGCGACATCATATGACTGTACTTCAAGTTCCTTTATACAGCTTTCACTTAATGCTACTGTATTACCATTTCCTATGCATTTATGACTAGCTAATATATGAATGTCATAGAAACATTCATTACACGCTCCACATTTCCATACGACTTCTGTTTCAGAAGCCATCGTATCAAAATTTTTGTATATCAATATATTTCAAATTTATCGTAATGCTATCAATACTTGCGTATCGGTAAACTGAAATCGAAATGTTCATTGAAGAAAATGGGGCTGTGTCTACCCGTACGACGTCGGACGTTTAGCTGAAACATGGTAAAAATGCTAAACGTACGACTAGTTGCGCAGAGACACTTTCGTGATTTCTGCGCATTCCGACCAGTCGTAAAGAGATGTTTGTTTACATTTGTGTTGATTATCGGAAGGGTGAATTGCTTTTCCGTGTAGTGCTAGAATATCAAGAAAAAGTTATTTTTTATTTCGTTTGATGACTAATTACTATCATTCTTTGATAGATATCTAAAACATTATATAAAATAAAGAACTTTGAATATATCTGAATATTATTCTTGTTTTAAATTGCTAATGTTTGATCATTTTATACTGATGCGGAGTTTACACAAATAATCAAAATTTCTTGAAATTCTTATCAACAGATTTAAATAAATCATGCATGCAAGCAGTAAAATCACATTCTTACGAAACGAAATTGAAAAATCGTCTTAAAACCTTGTGTAATTTTTCTGTCATGCGTAGCTAAATATTTCTATAAAATTGCATACAGAAGCATTTATATACATAAAGAGTGTGTTCAGGAGATTAATTCAGAAATGTATGTGCATATGCTTGTATGTACCGATGTAGGTGTTCATGTAGCATATGTATATGTGTGTACATACGTTTGTGTGTGTGTGCACAGATATACATGCATACATACATTTTTGAGTCTGGTCTCGAAAAATGTCTTGCTGAAAAAGAATGTAAACAAACCACCCAGCTCCTTAAAAAAAAAGTTTAGAAATTTTTTATCATAATTTTGGTTTCTACAGCAAACTTTTGTGTGTGGGTTTGTTTTAAACTCTTAGAAGAACTCAAATTTTAATATAAAGACGTGAAAATTTTTTACCTTTTGATAGTGTACCTGATGATTTATTAAAAACACAATTGACTCTCTTATATTTAATATTGAAAAGAAGGAGGGTGATATGTACAAAATTATAATAAAGATAATTCTAAGGTATTTTTTATAAATATATGTGACTTCTGAATATAGAAAATAATCGCTTACAAATGACTTATGCAGTATTTGTTTTATTATCATATCCTGTCCTCATAAGCTCAAAAATAAAACTTTATACAGGAAAGTCATTTTACCTCCAAATATATTTTATGGTATTGAAGTATGATAACAGATGATTATTTTTGTTAGAAAAATTATAATGTTATGAATATTTTCCTGAAGATAATTATACATTATATTCAAGCATATTTATATATTAATATATATATATTATATTCAAGTAATAGATGACATATTTATATATTCTATTTAAAAATAAATGGCAGCACTATGTCTTGTCATTAACTTTATCAAAAGAACTTATAGGTTTAAAGCACCTAATTTCTAGTATAAGAACTGTACTTCAAATGTCCTTTCTTTTCCCCTTTTTTTTTTTTTTTTTTTTTTTTTTTCTGTAAGAGTTTTGCTTTATATTATTTACAGTAAAAATGCTTGGCCTTTTTTATCCAAATATCTAAATATGGAAGTCTGAAATAATGCAATATATTTGTATGTATATAGAGTAAAATATTAGTAAATTCTACATAAGTACATTATTATTCTAAGATAATGTATTTAAAAATATTCAGTTTAATGCAAATATGTGAATCAATTTATACATATAAATTTTAAGTGTATGACTTCTGTTGGATGTTTTAAGTAAACAATCAAAAAAATTAACCTTTTTATCAACTTATCTTGCACATATATACATTATTACTTTTTTTTTTTCCTATAAGAATAAACTTAATCTAATATAATAATCTAAAAATAAATAATACACAACATCTATTAAGGCAGACCATTTTTAGTACAGTAACAAATAATACAAGCAATATAATTTAATACTTTCAGTTGTCAGAGAATGAAGTGAGTTTTGTGAAGCTATTTAATGAAAAAATCTGAAAACAATTTTTGATGGTTCTAAAATACAAGTTCTAAAAGAATTAAAATATGTACATGAGATAAATGCCGCTCTTTTTGTTTTAACCCCTTTGAATAAATTTTAACCAATTTGATACTTTTTTTTACTTCTTTTCAAAACCTTGAAATACATGAGAAACTGATTTCAGGACCAACACATTTCAAGAAATATTGCTAACTGCAATGAATCAGCACACATGTATGACTTCATCAGAACCATCAGAATGTCTTGTATTACCTTTATTTATTTATTTAAAGTTACTAATGGATTTATATGTAGAAGAGCTGAGATTTCTAATACAGTTACCACACTGGCATTTTTAATGATCTTTTCACTAATGATTTAAAATCTCTCTATATTTTTTTTATTATTTTTCAAATGAAAAGTTTTTGTTCATTTGTTTCCAAAATAACAGCTACTTCCTTAGTTCAATTATTATTTTTCTTAACTGGTTTGTCTGGTGAACTCCTGTGATTTTTTTTTTTTTTTTTTTTTTTTTTTTTGTGAATACATTTATTCTGTAATTTGTTGTTTTCAGTTTTTTTAATTTCTCTTTTGAAAAGTTTTCTGCATTTTAACTTAATAGCCTTGAAACTTATGATCAACATTCAAAATCTAACTTCCATTTTAAATTTCAATGTTTACCTGGATTCATAACAAGTGTATTATTTTTAAATTATTCAGACAACTTAAGAGCTCTGTGTCTTACATCTTCATAATGGTAGAAAATTTCATTGTACAGCCTATGTACATTTTAGTTTTGTCATGTCATGCCATTTGTGAAATATTCCTTCTCTCTGCTTAATTTTATTCCATATATAGAGATATTCAGTAAGTTTAAGCATAATAAATTTGTAGAAGATAAATGTCTAAAATTCCATTTTCAGTTTCCTATGTAGACTTTTAATTTGCATTTAGTACAGCAATCAATTACGCATTGAATTCCAATATAAAAATATTTTTTATCACAGCCTTCAGATCATTCCTGAACATCATTCAAATCATCATCAGACTGCAGTATGAAATATACAAATACTTCTTCTGTTTTTGAAACAAAAAAGAAATCATTTGATGACAAGGTCTAGTGAACATTGTGCATAGGGTATAAGCTGAAATTATCATTCCTGGAACAGCAATCTGGCAAATTTTAGTCTTGTGTGCTGCAGCGTTTTTATGCATAGCGGAATTTTACTGCTGAGTTTGCTACACAGTTTTTTATAGTTAATAGGAATTGTATTGGATTATTACGTCAAAAAAATGTGAGAACTATCTGTCTAAGAGAAGATATGCCTTTTCAAAGGAACAATATAAGGAAAACTGGCTCTGATTCACTTTATACATGAGGAAAACAGCAAAATCTCCTCTGGAGCCAGCCTATTCGTCAAGATAAAACTCTGAGCGAATTACTAGCATTCAGCGGATTTACCTCTCGGCCGCTGGTGGGCCTAGTACAAGTTGAGTCAACAGGTTAGCGTAATAAACACCTTTTATCATGATATTATGTGACCTATAATCTATAAGCAATGCTCTTCATAAAAAATGTTAATTCTGTTTGCTTTCTGGATTCTGAACTTAGCTCTTGTTTATCTATTCTCTTGTTTTGAGATCTGCTCATCAAAACAGAGCAGCAGGTCAATTAAAGAAGGATATGCATGCAGTGCAATCATCTTCAGTACGATCTCAAGTCATAGTCACGTCTTTAATCCACCTAAAATCCAGTCCCAGTACTTTTCACTCTTTGAGCAAAAGTATAATTCCTGTTGGAGTCTAAATTAAGATGAGCTCCGGTATTTCAATTTTCTACTGAACTATTTTCATTAATTAAATTGAATTATCTAATTTTATTTATTAATTTACATTTTATTTTTATTTTTTCTTTATTTTTATCTTTGTTGACGACCTTTCATAGTCCTTCTTCTTTTAGAAATAAGTAAGTACTGACCACAATGCATTGAGGCATAAAATTGAACAGGCACTCGTATAATCCTATGGCAAACATTCCACACTTGCTAGATAATGTGTTTCACATTGAGGACATCGAAGCACTGAGCCTACGCAGGCCAGATAGAGCTTAAGTCACATTATTTTGATCACTGCAAAGCACGCAAGGGCTTTCTGCCTAAGAACAGGGATGCTTTTGTGGAGCACTTTTTAAAGGTTCGATTTGGTTTGTTTGATTTTAGAAAAGCACTTGAGGGCTATTTGTCTAAAGAAGAGCAAAGATTCTTGATGGCTTCATGATGGACTTTTCGAAGAAAACTAGCTGGCATTCACATTGCGCAAGAGAAAACATCAAAAACTCCCATGCGACCAGTCCGTTCGCTGGAATTTCAAACCAGTCGAACTAACAGTATTCACCAAATTTACTGGTAGGTTTATACTCAACAAGGGACATATTTTTGGAGCAGGTAGGTAGTGTAAGTGTCAGTAAATGACGTAGCCAGTCTTGGGCAATAAGCTATGAGTGGCGTTCTTTATCCTACTGAAATATCGTGCTTGGATTCTTTGTCAGGTATTGGTGTATATTGGTTGAGACAGATAGATTTTCGCATGTTATGTCTCATGTGCAAGCAGTAATTAGAATGGTGCAAAGCATAGTATAACATCGTCAACGTATTAGACAGTGAGAAATGTGACAACACTGACTAAGAAAGGAATGCAAAAGATACAAAAGCAGATTCGAAATACATCTGTATTCTACTCAAATCAGAAGGTGAATGCCCATATGATAAGGGTAACACAAACGCAATTATCACTAGGGGATATAATCCTACTTAATTGTGATGCAGTCTCTCTACTGTATATTCATGCTCTGTACGAGATCGTCCACGAATTTCTGAGAAATTATGTTCAATTCTTCTTGCAGGGCTGATTACAGCTATGAAAGCATTGAAAGGCACTAGCGACGGGCTGTCAAAAGTCCCCAGACCATACACCATATATTAAGTTGGAGCATACGACAGCCTTCAGAATGCCTACGCTAAGACAGGTGCTATATCTTCACTCCTTAACAAGCTAGCGACAGTTGGTATACCATGAAGTGTAGCACTATTGTTCGCGAAGAATCTTGGAAAAGATGCACGTGAGGAGAAGAACATTAGCACAACTGCAGTCAGTAGTGAATTAATCTTCTTCAGATGTATGGAGCTTCATATAGCGACCAAGCATTTCACTTCCACAAACGAAAATTTGAGCACTTGCAAACTGTTTCCTTTCGATGATCTTAGAGGGACGACTGCGTAATCTCTGCTTTATCTAGATATTTAGACTTCCAGAATGGCTAGATAATCTAAATATCGGAAGATTAAAGCTGTTATTTTATTCTTGAAACTGGATGATAATCCCTGATATAATATTGCAGCGGCTGCTCTATTGTCTAGAAAACTGGATGACACCAGCAGCCCCTGTTTAGTCTTGCCAGCGACTGATGCTGTCCTTAAAACTCAACTCTATTCCTGAGCTACTCAGTGGCGTAAAGGGGGTGTATGATGCCCCGGGCGCCGGTCGCAGAGGGTCGCCAAATGGTCTCCAAACAAGATTTTCATCATATCACTGTTTTTTTCTGAGAAGGGAGGCGCCAAAAAGGTATTTTGCTCCGGGCGCCAGTTATGCTCGCCACTCCACTGGAGCTACTCAGATCTTTTGTTTGCAACAACACTACAGAAGACACTGCCTCCGACGAGAAGGCATGAAAGTCCGCAAAGCGATCAAAACACCATGAGATTGTTTCGTAGTGATATCAGTGTTATAGCTAGAGACGGGCGAGGGTGGACAACTGTCCCTGGGCGTAGTGTCACGGAAATGCCAAACTGACGAAGTTTTAGAATGAAACAGTTTCCATACTTAGAAAACAGAAGGGTGTACGAAATCTGCAGTTGTCTTTAGGCGCTGAAAACTATAGCCAAGTCTTTAGCCATATTGGATGTCCAGTAATAGATTGCATGCATCTTAGGATGTCACCCACTGTCACCACCACCAGATGATGGGAGTCATTAGCATAGATATCGCATCATCTAAAGACGGCTCTCCAGTGGCCGAGCGGTAAAGCCGATAAACTCGGGCCGGGGCTCGAATCCCGGCGAGCAGATTGGCTGCTAACTAAGCGTTTTCATGGTTTCCATATGTGTAACCTATATACAGTCCAATTTCCCTTAGAAAGTCTTTCACGAAGCCATCCCTTCCCTTAGACAGGTAGCCCTCGAATGTTTCGCCATAACTAAATAAACTGAACCCAACTCATCATCTGTAAGAGAAGATATCAGTTCTTCATATCCTGGCGTGGTTGTTTGTGGGAAAACCACTACCAGAGTTGGATTAGCCATTAAGGAAAGTAAGCACGTGCTTAGGGCATCAGGTAAAGGCGGCGTTACAAAAAGGTGCTTAAAGATTCA